TAAGATAGTGTAGTTGCGTCATATTGTGACTTATTAAATTAAAATTAAATTATTTGGTTATTCCGTCAAATCACAATGTATTTAAAATAAGATAATTAAAATAATTAAAATATCGTTCTGTGTTCCATATCCTCCAGACACAACTGTGTTGTCTACTATTCATCTCTGGTATGTTTATTTTATTTTACTTTCCTTATAATATTATTTATTTACTAATTTAATTGTTTTCTATATTCATCCATATTCATTAATGTTTCTTTGAATCATTTACTTCATAGACCGATGTAAACATCAAAAGCATCACTTCAAACAATAAAGTTGATCCATTATATGAAAATATCTGGACACGACCTCCAAAAAACTACACTACGAACAATTGTAAATAATTGTAATTGAGTTTTAAATTTAATATAATTTTACACCTGATGATGGTTTAATAAAACCGAAACATGTTGTAACTGTTCCAATTGTAAATCTATTATTCGATATGGAACACAGAATGATATTTTAATTATTTTAATTATCTTATTTTAAATACATTGTGATTTGACGGAATAACCAAATAATTTAATTTTAATAAAAGTTCTTAAAAAATCTTTGTAATAAAAAGTTATTTGTCATCCATATTTTTTGACTTTGAAAATGCTTCGACAATAAAACACTAAATCCATATTAACAGTCACTTCATAAACTGTATCCCAGTGGATATTTAACAAGAATTTGCTGAAACCTAAACTCGCTCTCGTCAACTGGGTCTCGAGTTTCAACACAAAACATCACGCCTGTTATTTAAATTTCAGAACACGTTTAACATGTGAGTATATTAACAGCTTACATTAGTAGTACCCTGCTCTGCATTGTATACAATTGTTTCAGGCACGGAACATACCTAATCTTGTACGAACGTACGTTAACATGCAAACCATTCAGTAATTAGACTTTATATCAGAATATCTGGAGTGATTCTTTTGTTCTCTTATGGAGGTCAGCGTAGACCTACCCGCGGGCTACATCCGACTCGAGATCACTTGTAACCAGGCCCGCGAATTTCTTTTAATATTACTAGTTACTATAAGTGTATATATTAACTTTACGCAGAAGGATTTGAAAAATAATATCGTGATTCTTATGTCCCCTGATGCTTTATGTGCAAACTTTCTAGCTAAAAAATTATGTTAGATACGAGATTTTTCAGGACCAAATTTATAAATGATATTTAACTCTATAGTAATTTATGCAATGTTTCAATAAAATTTATATTTGAGTGTAGATTGTACTATGGTAATTTGTAATTTTGGAATAAGTATTGTTAATGATATGGAAATTGTATGTTAATTTTCAAAAATAGTGTAAGAAGGGGTTTCTTGGCCCTTGGTTCCGACAGGAAAATTGTTGCTGGCGAAAGAGTTGGATCACCGTGGTGTAGGTGAATTTCTGATAGTTCAACTGCGATGATATTGTAGCGAATTGATTTTAGTTAACACGTTGTAAATTAGGAATGTAGAGATTTCAATTTACCGAAATCACACCATTAAAATATTGTTTAACAGTTTTTAAAATATATTAAAATTGATAGACCTGATGATGATGTAATACACATCGAAACATGTCGTGATACAAAAAATGTAACAAGATGCAGTATCTACTGAGAATGTTATAATTTTAAGTAATTTTAAACAACATTATTTTAAGTTTGTGTATAGACGGAAAATAAAATATTGTATCATTAAAATATTGTTCGTGCTCTCTGCTGGAGTACACCCCGGAATATTGATTACTGAAGCAAGTGGGACGTATAGTTACCACTAGACTTTAAAAGGTTAAAAGTAAGTACTACTCTGTATTTTATTTCGGACATAAATGTCTTCCTATTTTCTTTTTAGTTGAACCAATGCGTGATTTAAAACTGGCGTGCAATTGTGGCCACATTTTTCGTGAACTATAATTACGAACGATCCAGAAGTTGACGCTTTCTAGGAGGTATAATTACAAGTTTACACTATATAAAAGACTTCTGTGATATTTAACGTGTCTATAAAACACTGTTTAAGTAAGCTTAACAACCATTTTGTCACCACCATTTCCCCCGTGCCTTCTTAATATTCTTTTAGTTTTGAAGGATAATTGCCTTACTTGAGGGTTTAGATTATCACAAGACTTTCAGTAGCCACTGTAGCAATTCTAAGTAACTGAGTTTTCGATATAATGATTTTCCGAAGGTATTTGTAAGTATTCAATTTTTAACTTTCAACTTTAACTTACAAGTTAAAAGTAGGAGTTATCTATTGTAAAAAATTGGGGTTTATTATTTTTACTACACAATCCGACAACTGGATTACATTTCAAATAATCTTTCTTCGTCACAACACAATATTTTCCCAGTACAAATTTTAAAATTATCCTTCCATATGTAACTTCCTGTCTCAAGTAAACGATGTGGTATTTAAACTGTTATACGGAATTTCTTATCATTTATATCGCTTTGAAGTTTATGTAATTTGCTTATTTGCTAACATAAAACAGTAGAAGTTGAGAAAAATATTTTATGAATTTCTGTCCTACAAATTCGTAAATAATTACTCGGTGTCTTCAATACACGACATTTACAGGAATAGGAATTTTGATTACACTCGCCCTTATTTTATAAATGCTCAGTAATTCTGTACTGCCGACTCAACCCTAAACAAAAGAGTTAATGTTACACATGAACAATTTAAAGGTGTGGAGGTGAGGTACGAGTTAACCGGTCTAAATCAGGACTAGTCTTGGTTTCCAGGAAGGCATCTACGGTGGGGAACACCAACATTTCTTCGTTTGTGTTCGGAATACACTATTAGATGGAAGACAGTAGATTCTATGTGAGATGTTGCTGATTCTCACAGCTAAGCCGCGAAGCGAGAATGTCTGTGACGTAGATCCTATAACTTAGCGATGTTTAATCCAAAGACCGAGAAAACATGGTTCGGAAATAGGTTACCTCCGAAGGGTCTCGTGTTCGAAACGGTTTATTGAATTATTCTCTGTCTCCATGGAGACCCAGCTAATCAAGATATTCCTCGCTTTTTGTATAACCAGAAGTTTTATTACCGTGTACACAAGAGCCCGTCAACAGTCCCTATCCTGAGTCAGTTCAATCCAATCCACACCCTTCAACCTTAAGTCCATGGTATCCAGTTTAATATTATCCTTCCATTTACGCTTAGGTCTTCCTGGTGGTCATTTTCCTTGCTTTCCGGTCAAAATGTGCACATTTCTCATTTCCGTTCTCTGTGCATGCCTATCGCGTCTTGTATTTTGTCCTGGCTTATATAAAGACGAAGATTGGACCCTTGACTGCTTGAACAACTTCTTACACGGTTTTCGAGCTGAGTATGGCATTACTTAGCGCTGATGAAAACTCAGATCTAGATAGTGTGAAGAACCTCCCTTCACCTCAGTCTAAGATCTTCTTTGTTATCACTGAATGAACCTGTCAGTCCATTGTCGTCTGACAGTGAGAGATTCGAATTCTTGGAATGTTAAAGAATACGAATGATGGGTTGAAATTAGTGAATTAGGATGAATCAGAGCGAAGAAAGATGCTTGTTAGACCTAGAGGCTTCCGCTGTCACACACGACGTCGTACTTTATGGCACGAAGTACGTAACTAATTCTCCGGCAGTATAAATTTCAGATTTAGCGATTCTGGACACGATCATGAACTAGTCTCATCCAGTTCCCAGTAGGCCTACGTGATAGAACGTGCTGGAATTTCAACCCATGGTACGAATAGGGGCATTACCCTGGTCACTGCACTCGTATCGCGGTCATGGAAGTTATACATGTATGCATTCAGGCCTAAAGCATGACGTGCAATATAAAACAGCATCGGTTATTTCAGAAAGAAACATCTTTTACAATGTGAGTAGGTC